TCATCAACATACAGCAGTTCTCCTGTTCTGATTTTAATCTTTATTCTTTGGATTACATTACTTTGATAAAAGATGTAAAATTTCAGCTGAATTCACAGCTAAACCTGAACACATAAAAAAATTTCAGCTCCATCGGCTAAAGATTTGTGATTCAAAATTCAGTTGCAAGATGCCACTTCAAACGCAATACATACATTAAGTTAAGTAAAAGTTTGTTAATGTATTGACCTCTCTCAAGTGTAAACATAACAAATAATGCCTGATAACATAAGAATACAAACAATGTTAATATTAGTTAACTTGTTAACAGTTAATGTATTTTGCTTTGTAACAAACGACACCAACAACTTATAGTTGAAACTTGGTTCAATTTTACTGCTGCTGTAATATGCTTATCATCAACCCATTAACTTTAACTGTAACTTTTAACAGTAATCGATAAGCATATTCAGCATTCATATGTTGGATATTGATCAGTATTCATACTCATGACTTCGTAAACGTATTCAAAAGCACAAACGTTTCACAAACTAATCCTTCACATTACTCTAAATACAACCAATGGTAACCCATGCATTGAGCCTTGGACTTAGCTTTTAAGCAGTTGCCGTTGTAAAACATTTACTCATTTTTATTTCAATAATTCAAACTTTATATTCTTAGTATCTTACTGCTTCATACCAGGTCTGCTGTCTATATTGTTGATCAAAAAAATTAGCAGATAAAGAATACTAAATATAAAAGTAAGATTAGATCTCACCAGCCTGGTCATTGAATGTATTGCTTCTACAACACAGTGAGCCAAGCTTGCATAGCAGTCCAAGCGAAGTCAATTCACCTACTGCCACCAACCATCGACGCTCAGCTACTGCCGCAGTCATGAACTGTAGCTGTAGCGACGTCAGCACAGGCAGGCGCACCGGTGTTGAGCTCACGTTTCCTCACCAGCAATTGGCAGCATCACTCCTCCATGCAGTCAAACAAATCAAAATTTAGTGTTTCAGTTCACTTTACTTTACACAAGCCATGTTAGCAGAATCGCCTAGAATATTAGCAGAATCACTTCAGTACCTACGTGACATTCATTGTCTCTCCTTACTGTTTGTAACAGTAAAGGACATAGGTAGGTATAACAAATTACAATGACAGAACTTGAGATTGTTAAAGATTTTAACTTAAAAGAAAATTAGTAGGAATAGTTTAAACATTGAGTTCACAATTTTATTTATTTGTAGCTTACACGTACAAATACACAAAAGCATTATAGCTTTTCAAACGGGAATTGGAACGTACTCACCGTAAGTTTCAGTCATAGTTATACGTTACCACAATTTGCCACAATACCTCGATCACAACGTACCTACTAAGTACATGAACACGAACTTACATAAAACAAATGAAAAACTTTGAATAGTCAATTTGCCGTATCATGTAAGTATTATCTACATAGAAAGTCAGAAGGCATGGAAAATAATCGTATCCCACTTCTGATATTAGAAACTTAAAAACTGTCATAGAGTTCACCTCTTTGATATTAGTAACTTATTTGTTTTATACCACATTGGATTTTAGAAACTCAGGAGGCAGGAAAATAAAGAGTACCACCATTACAATCACCTTATATTGTTAACATCGAAATCAAATTACAAATTCAGAACTAGCTAAACCATAACTTAATTGGAAAGAAAAACAACAACAATAACACATAAATAGGCAAATTGACTTTCAAATAGAATAAAATTCCCTCAACACCAAATACACCGTCTCAATAATTTCCGAGTTCCCGCCATCTTGACTTTTTCATTGTTCGAACCACAGATTATATTTTCCCGCTACGCGATGACATTTCGTTCCTTTTTGTCTATGCTTCTAACAATTTTTTTATTTTGCCTAGTAGATAATTTAACTTTTAAGTGTGGGAGAGCCATGCTTCGGCATGAATGGGCCAGCTCGACCGGAGTGATACCACGGCCTCACAGAAGACCGACGTGAAACAACGTTGTGTTGGGTTTCGTCGTCTGAGTGAGGTTACCGGAGGCCCAATTACCCCTGAATCCCCAACAATCCTCAAATTCCTAATCCAGAAGGCCGGTAACGCATTTGTAACGCCTCTGGTGTTCCAGGTGTCCATGGGCAACGCCGATTCACCGGTTTATCTCAAAAAAAGGGTACTCGGTTAATTCAGGGATTGATTCCAAAATCTCATATTTGATAGTTAACCTTGAAACCACAGAAATGAAGTTGACTTCCTCAAAGTAACCTACAACAGTATATCACTAAGATAATTATGTATGTGTGAATTCAATTCCATCTTCCATATTCTTATTTAGTTCAATTTCAGTTCATAAATAATCTATAAAAAAAATCTAGCACTGAGAAAAATACCTCCAAATAAATATCCTGATTCGAAAAATGTTTTACAAAGAAAAATATCATGTAAAAGGAACAGACAACACCGCGTGCTCCAACGTTAGGCTTATTAATATTCATGAAACACAAATTGGAACTGTGTACCAAATGACCGGACTTTCCTACGGATTAGTTATCGGAATTCCTTAATTTCACTCTGTGATTAGATTTTGCTAAGTTAACGATAACATTTATTAAGTTGGTTGATTTGATGGGGTGGGTTCATTTAAGTTGGTTCTTGATTGGTTTGTGGTTTTTTGGATTTGGTTCGTTATGTGTTAGTATATAAACTACGACATGTTAAGAAACATGCCGTAGTTTTTTAACTCTTGTTAGTGGAATTTGGTGGTCTTATTTATGTACCTATATGTATGTTGTGTCGTCTTTGAAACGATTCTACACATTTTTGTTTGTTTATTTTTTCTTACATCTTCTTCTTCTCTGTCGTTTCGCTCTTGGCAGAGCGGTCGAGGTCACGTTGAGGTGGCCGTATTTCTGTTGGTGGCCGATACAGCTTTCGTCACGATCTCCCGTCATCTCTCTCTGTTTGTGGATTGTCTGGCGCAGTCTGACACTGGGTTTCCCGTTGCCGATTTGACTTGATCAGTCCAGCTCATAGGTGATCTGCCTCGTGCTCCTGTTTTCTTACATACCTTTTCGTAAAAATAACATTTATTTTCCTCTTCTGTTATCTACACTGTGTCTCATGTTTTAATTACATTTCCTGTATCAGGTCAACTGAAAGAAATTCCAACAGGAATAAGTAGCACCTATGTACTCTTATTTTATATATGTGTTATCCTCTGTGCTGTTAGTGTGCATAAATTATATAAAAAAAAATTAACATAACATAACATTACGCCTTCTATCCCCGAAGGGGTAGGCAGAGGTGAACATTATACCACTGTACAATGTAACACCCACTTTTCACTATTTATGTAATGAGTAATTACCCCATGTAATAGGGGGTGAGCCTATTGCCATATACCGGGCACAATGCCAGACTCCGTGCTACTACTGAGAATATTAAAAAACCCAGTAATACTTTGCCCGACCCGGGAATCGAACCCGAGACCCCTTGCCCGGTAGTTGCACTTACGACCACTCGGCCACCGAGGCAGTCAATAGTTAATAAAATCGGTTCAGCTGTTCTCGATATTTGTGCATAGCAACAAATTTTTAATTTATAAATACATATGTAGATTACGCGTAAAGTTTTCGAACGAAATTTCATAAATCAGACAGACGTGTAAAAGGATTTTCTAAAAAGAAAATTCTGAAAAACCAGATATCATTACCATTTCGTAGAATTACAATCTGATACAATAGTATACAATTCAACATCACTCAGACAAAAAATACTAAGAAGCCTTAAAGTGGTATGATCCTCATTTTCAATAACTATATAATAATACAATAGTTACAAGCGAAAAAACCACATGCAGCCCACGTTTTCCTTAAATATTTACAAATTAAACAATGTGATGTATGGACATGCACGTGTATGGCAATTAGTGCATATTAAAATAACAATAAGCATAGCCTAGTCTTTTAAACCGATATTGTTTAAAATTTTTGAATACTATTTTAGTTTTAGTTTAATGGTTATTTCATGGAGATGGTAATGACCACGACTGCCTTATTGGCCGAGTGGTCGCAAGTGCGACTACCGGGAAAGGGGTCTCGGGTTTGATTCCTGGGTCGGGCAAAGTATAACTTTGTCGGCACGGTTGGCGCGACGGCTGGGTAACTGGCTGCCACGCAAAGTGTCGCGGGTTCGGTTCCCGCACGGAACAACTGTTTGTGTAATCCACAGATTGTTGTGTCATGTGTATGTGAACTTATATGTATGTAAACGCAACCACGTCACAAGAGAAAACCCTAGTGTAGGGCAACGGTTTAAAAAAAAATAAACAAAAACTTGTTGTTTTTTTAATCTCTGTAGTAGAGCGGAGTCTAGAAATGTGCCTGGTATATGTCAAAAGTCTCACCCCTTATTACATGAGACGCAACATAAATAGTAAAAAGTAGGTGTTACATTGTACAGTAGCATTAAGTGCCGTAATGTGCTCTTTGCCTACCCTTTCGGCGATAAAAGGCGTGATGATGGAGTTATAGTGGTAAAGACCACTAAAGCAAAATGGTGATGATATCACATCAAATTAATAGGTAAAAAGAGAGTCTAACAGAAAATACACTCAATACAACTTCATCTATTCTTCATCTACTTTAGACGACACAACTTTGTCTGAGTGATGTTGAATGAGTCCACTCTATAGGCATTTACGTTCAAAAGTGGTTTCCTGGTCTAATTGAAATAAATGATTTTGACTTTGACTTTGACATTTTCTTCAGATCTCGTAAATAGCCTTAACATTATGATAATTAACAACTATATTGAAGAACAGATGAATTTAAATACATATTATATGCTGTACATACGAAATAAGTAGTTTGGTTTGTGATGCTGTACACCGAGGAAGTGTTCATAGAAGATGTACTAGTGTAAAATGTATTTTGACTAAATTGTGATACCAATATTCAATCCTCTAAAATAATTACAAAAAATACTTAAAATCATTCAATAATAGTTGTATGGTAATTAATGATAGTGATACAAAAAATAAGATAGCAATTCACATTTAAAAATGGTGTGCAACGCAAATGACAATGTTAATAGAATAGAAATTAGTGTTATAAATAAAAAAGTAAATGCAGTTGATCGCGAAGAAAAGATATATGAATACGAAGAAGCTATTGATCTGACAGGTAAGGAACAAGCGTAACCTTTTGAGTATTAACTCGTCGAGTACCGGTTTTATAGACACAATTAAAGAACAATAGGTCGCGGTCACCGGTGACCGCTTGGTGTTTGACAGTTTAAAAGAAAAATGAATAGAAATATGTGTCAAGTCGCAAAGATGGATACAAACATTATAACGTCACAAAGTTTCATTTCCATAGGATCAAATAAAGAGGTCCTCCCATCGCTTACGTTAATTTTTAACCAGTTTTCAATATAGGAGATGGTCGTTGTTTATATTATTGTTTTTTTACGCAGTTTATATGTCTTTATTTATACATACTCGCGTTTTGACTTCTTTTTCTACAGGGAATTGTTGTCTGTTGATAATTTAATCAATATTTTGATTGACCCAGATGACTAAAATTATATATATGTGGTATCCTCTGTGCTGTTTATTTGTACATAAATTATTAAATAAATAAAACAGTCAGAATTTTAAAATTGTCTTAAAAGCCGCTTTGAATTTCTTTATATGTATAAAAATATATTTTGCAGGCAATGGCTGGTATAACCGAGGTCTTCTCACTGCCCTTAGTATTGGACTACTTGGAATGGGTATTGACATTTTCGGATTCTCAGTCATAGTCACTGGGTGCAGTTGTGACTTCAACTTAGAATTATGGCAGAAGAGCATTATGTTGTCCATGCCTTTTGTTGGTAAGTAAATATTATTACTTTGGTTATATCTTTACAGTGTTATGGTTTATGGCATTACAGAAAACCGACGTGAAACAACGCTTGCGTTGTGTTTCGTCGTGTGAGTGAGGTTACCGGAGGCCCTCCCCTTCCCCAATCTCCCCAATCCCTGAATCCCCAACGATCCTCAAACTCCTAATCCCCAAAAAGCTGGTATCGCACTTGTAATGCCTCTGGTGTTCCAGGTGTCCACGGGCGACGCCGATTGCTTACCATCAGGTGATCCGTCTGCTCGATTACCGGCTTATGCCATAAAAAAAATTCTCACTTAATTGTTTGACTGGCAAACTCGACCAGTTTTAAACAACACTAGATGTACATAGTCCTAGCCATCGTGAGAAACATGCCCATGTAAGAACGGCCCCTCTCCGGCCACCGTAAGCACGGGCCTGCGAACGGCAAGTTACCCGTAACCAGAACCACATTCGATCGAACCACGCATCGGGTTCCGCGCGCTCCTCAAGGAGCCATCCGAACACCATTGGTGGGGTTCAATAGGGCCAATAGGGCTGATGCCGATACGGAGCAGAGGAAGACTTAACGAGTTGCCGGGGCTTCGATTTGAAGTACAGGAGTAGGAACCTCTCAAAAAAAGAATAGGGGTACATAGTTATTTATTTCTGTTGTCTGTTTTTGGAGTCATTTCCATAATATCGTTACAATATTTTGAAATGTCTCATTTTAACTTATTTTGTAATTTCAGGGCCAATAGTAATGTCAATACCTTGGGGCTATATATCAGACACCAAAGGTAGATGGAAATGTTTGCTGATAGCTTTGTGGGGAAGTTTTCTATCTTCTTTCATTGGAGCCTTTTCTTGCAACTGGATTATGTTGGCTGTTATGAAAGTTTTCAGTTCATGTTTGTAAGTATAAAAACATATAAATATTTTAATTTACTATATTTGTATTATAACTTTCGTGAGAGATACTAGATAAATTATTATGTTTTCGGCTTACTCACGTAATTATTCGACGAGGAAATAGACTACTTTCAAGCCATACTAGAGGCTCGTCGCAGGTCGCGAAATGTTTCTCATGAATATGAGCCTCTGATATGAATATGAGTGAGTAAGCCGAAAACGTAATAATTTATTTTAATTTACTCTTATAATATCATTGAAAGATCGAGTTTGGATTTTAATTTCATTTATTAATTACTGCTTCGTTAGCCAAGTGGTCGTAAGTGCGACTGCCGGGCAAAGGGTCTCGGGTTCGATTCCCAGATCGGACAAATATTACTGGGATTTTTTTAATATTCCTAGTAGTAGCACGGAGTCTGGAATTGAACCCGGTAGGTTCATCTGTTTCATGGAACTTATATCATAAATAGTGAAAAGTGGGTGTTACATTGTAAGTGGTATTAGATGCCGTAATGTACACCTCTGCCTACCCTTTCGGTGATAAAAGGCAAGGTTTTAATTTTGCATCGCCTTTCCAATAGTTGCAGTGCAGTCCAGTCAGGGGCCTACGCGTTGCTTGGCGAATCTTGCTCGACGAAAGTCAGGGGATTTTATATGCTGATAATGACCAGTGTTCTTATGCTGTTCTTGCTATGCTATGTTGGTAAGTTACATGTGTTAAGAATTATTTTATTTAAACCTTTGATTTATATAACGATTACGTAAGATTGTGAAGGACAATGTCTTGCTATGAGCAAAATTTAAGTACGGTTTTATTAAATGGGGTGGTTAATTTTGTTATATATTTTTGTTCTAAAAAGTTCAATGCAATATTCTAGAGATTTGGCAATGACTGAATTCAAATAAAAAAGTTTCTCTTAGCGACATCTCTGAATCAACTAGCGAATAATTTCTAATTTTTTTTTAATAGTACTCATGACTAATGTTTTATGAATCTGATTTAATTATGCAACTGTATAATCGAGTATTTTGTTTTAGATAAATGTGTGCTGTGGCTTATTCATTCAAATAAAGACACGCTATAATTATTATCTAAATTTAAACACTATAGAAAAATGATCATAATTATAACGATATTATTTGATGACAAAATAAAATAATGATGTTGTTGAAACTACATCTAATATTGTGTGTTTCTTATTATGAATTACGTATTACCTACTTGCATAAATTAATAATAATAATAATAATAATGACGGGCATTAGCGATCCCGCGGGCTACCATCATCCCGAGTGCTCCAGGGAGAGGTCACCGTTCCTTCTTCTCCGGCTTGCCTTAATTGGCTGGCTGGAGTGAAAGATGACAAGGAACAGGTCTCCCACCTCTGGCTTGCCTTCATTGGCCGTCCAGAGTGGAGTCGCGAGAGCAGTGATCCTGCTCGGAGGGTAAGAAACTATTCGTAAGTCGCGAGTGGGCCAGGGATGCAGGAGGCTTCGGCTGGAGCAGATGATCTGAGTAGAAAGCGGTGGTAGTTTCTTAACCCTTCAGCCACTCACATTCTCGTTGCCCCTCTGTTGCTATATCTAGCAACCATTCCCGGGGCCCGGTCGGTGAGTTGGCGAGTCTCCGCCTGCCATTTTTACGTGTAAAAATTACATTGTTTCGGCAGGTGCCATAGTCATCTATAGTCCCCAATTTACCAGTCCACAGCAACCCATCCATAGCCCAACCTTTTTTTTTCCATTATTCACAATAGTCCTACACTAACCGGGGACTGTCCTTGGGTGCATTTCCATAGTGCATACAGGGATAGTCGCCGGTTTGTGTGTCCATTACATTTATATTAAAGTTGTCTAAAGGGCCTCTGCGCAGTTGGCTTCGGCCCCTCGTACGCCTCCCAAATGACCGGGACCCTGTGGTCCCGTGAATGGTAAAGACATACATAATAATAATAAATAATCTTTATTGTACACCAATTTGAGACAGTACATCAAGGAACAAATAAAGAAAATAGGGTACAAAGGCGGCCTTATCGCTAAAAGCGATATCTACCAGGCAACCTTTGGGTGGATAGAATAATAAAGTAGGATATTAAATGAGGTAGTTATAGCTTGGCGTACTCAGTGCTTATTTATATAATGTAAAAGAGTAAACATTAAAAAACAAATTTATTTACTTTTAATATAGAATTATATACATACATACACACACATACATACATACATACATACATACATACATACATACATACATACCTACATACATTCATACATATATACATATACTAATACATACATAAGTACATTTAGAAACAAGATACAATGACAGATAGGTGACACTAGGTGAAGAAACAACAATGAACTACAGTGTGGAGAGATAATGCTCCCTCACGCGTGCCTTGAACGTGACCAGTGACTTTGCTTGTGAAATTTGTGTGCTGAAATTAAATGTTTAAGAGGGAATTTATGACCATATATTACATTAGCGAGTAAATTATTTATTTTTATGCTAATCCTATGACAAATACAATAACTGACTATGTCATATTTTGTAATATTTTTATGAAATATATGTAGGTCCATTTATTCGAAAAAAGTTTCGTTTTTTTTTAAATTCTAGTCATGAAATATAAAGGTAAAATTTCAAAATTTACCATTTATGTTATCAATCTCGTATAAAAAAAGCGAATCGATTATCTTTCACGTGCTTCTATTGATATTACGAAAAAATTGTACCTGGTCCCTAAAAATCAAACCAAATATTCTTGTTTAATAAACTTTAATATTCATATCCTTTACAGTTCCTGGCTACTTCATACTCCACTTGACCTTCGCGGCTGATCTGGTATTCATTCAGTTCACACCTTGGCGGCTCTTAACCATTGTAATGGCAGCTCCTTTAGGAATCAGCGCATTCCTTCTTCATTTCTTCTACGAGAGCCCAAAGTTCCTTGTCAATGCTGGTCGGGAACGAGAAGCTTTGGAATACCTGGAGAAGATGTGGCTGAAAAATGGAGGAAATGAAAATGAGTATCCAGTATGTATACCTAAGTTGTTTTGTACATAATATAAAAACATTAAGATTTAAAATTACCTGTTATTCTTAAACAACAATTTGTATAAAAGATACAAAAAATCACTTTACAGTATTTATTGTACATTGTTCTCAGTAACAATAAAGTTATTTTGGTATATGGACTGCCTCGTTGGCCGAGTGGTCGCAATTGCGACTGCCGGGTAAGGGGTCTCGGATTCGATTCCCGGGTCGGGCAAAGTATTATTGGGATTTTAAAAATAAATCTCAGTACCTAGTAGCACGGAGTCTGGAAAAGAAAAAAGAAAAAAGAAGTGAAAAGTGGGTGTTACATTGTACAATGGTATAATGGGTACCTCTGCCTACCCCTTCGAGGGTAAAAGGCGTGATGTTATGTGTTATGTGTGGTATATGGAAAGAAAAAAAATAACCATTTATTACGCCAAGACACAAACGTAGATAAGAATACAGGTATGTACACAAAAAAAGATATCCATGGTGCGTCAGCATAAGAGGTGAGCTCCGGAGCTCAGCTTAATACTGTGGACACGAAGGCTAGTCCACGGCGCTTGAATTTCAGTAGTAGTACATACACTTATGGTGACGCTGTTTCCTACTATAATGTTTAATTTCTTCTCCAGGTGAAAAGAGTGACCTTGAAAGAAGAAGCAAAAGTAAGATTAGTAGACAATGATAAGGCAAATCTCTTAGTATCCCTGTGGAGACAAACTATACCATTATTCAAACCGCCTTTAATTTGGAAAACCTTACAGATGTTCTTTTTGACTACTGTCATTTATAGTATGTGAGTATCATCTATCATTCATAGATAACCTATACGTTGCTTGAAACACTGGCTTTATATTACTTTCCTTTTTTTTAAACTTTGCCCCATACTAATTTTTTCTCCTGTGTCATGGGTGCGTTTACAGACAACTTCACATACACATGACACCCAAAACCGAAACAACAATTTGTGGAACAAACAAAGAGTTGTTCCGTGCGGGAATCGAACACGCTACACAGCAACCAGTTTGCCCAGCCAACCGTGCAGTCGAAATACAGAGAAAAGTATTGGTTTTAAATAATTCATACTAATACATACCATTTTATATTTCAGTAACAATAGCTTAATAATGTGGATGCCGTACATTGTGGAGGCGTTCACGGCTGGTGTGAGTTCTGAGTCTCTATCGGGAAGTTTATGCAGCATTATTATGAGGATATCAAATGCAACTGCCTCTTCTCATGATGTAGTAAGTACTTCGACCTGTGCTCTCTAATAAATTATAGAAGTGTGAGAGAGCCATGTATCAGCACGAATGGGTCGGCTCGACAGGATTGATATCACGGCCTCACAGAACCGATGTGAAACAACGATTGCGTTATTTCGTCATGTGAGTGAGGTTATCGAAGGTCCAATTATCCCCTCCCCCTTCCTCAATCTCCCCAATCCCTGAATCCCCAACAATCTTCAATTTTCTAATTCCCAAAAGGCCGGTTGCTCTGGTGTTCCAGGTGTCCATAGGTGACGCTGATTGCTTACCATCAGGTGATACGTCTGCTTGTTTACCGGCTTATCCCAAAAAAAGTACGATTATCAAGTTGGAATGTCTTCAATACTTTGTAATTAATATTATTACCAGTACTTATCATTATTATTATTACCATCATCGTCAATATCATGTTAGCTACAAAAATTGTAATGATAATGTAACTTTTTTACGGATACGACACACAATTAATACATCTTTTTTATTCCAGATCATCTGCTCATCATCAATCCAATCCCGGACCTTACTCTCTGGAGTAGTCCATGGCGTCGTCTTCGCTGGTATTACCCTAGCAGTATCAAAACTTGCTTCTAGAAAGAAAGCTATAATGATTGCTTTTCTTCTTATACCTATGCTATCTAGTTTGACAGCAGTCTTCAACCAGAATAATATTGCCAGTTTACTTCTGTACGTTGGTATGACGATGACTAATCTATGTATGGGAGTTCTTTTCGCGTACTACGTGGAGTTGTTTCCTACTTCTTATAGGTAAGTCGTATTTCGATATTTATAAAAGTGTTATTGTTATGCGGTTGCAAAAAATTGGCAATGAATACGTAATTTTTTCATACATAACATCACACCTTTTATCGCCAGAGGGGGGTAGGTTAGGTAATTTTTTCAATGATGAGGAAAAATATTTTTTGTGTAAAATATATATGAATGAATGTTTTTATAATAACTATAAGCTCTACTAGTTTCGAACCACAGAGGGGTTCTTCCTCATGAGTAGCGTGCGCGGTCGCGGCGATGTCGCGCTCCCTACTGGCCAGCGTTGTACTTGTAGTAATAGTAACTAGTAGAGATATTCTCAGTATATTCACGTGAGTAACCCGCGATTTTTAGTTAATGAAAATGAAAATTAAATTAATGTGATCTAGATCTATGTGGTTGTTGATATACCTAAATAAACCTTATTACGCAATTTGATGCTTATATATATATAAAAAAATCTTTTTAGGGGTATGGCAGCCTGTCTTGGGGTGATGGTAGCCCGGATCAGTGGTTTGGCTGGTGTTAACTTCCTGGGAGTATTTTTAAGTACAAACTGCTCTATGACGTTTTACGCTTTTAGCGGATATCTTTTGTGTGAGTATAATCATACTTGACATACATACGTTACTAACTTAATAAAATCATGGACATAACATAACATCAAACCTTTATCCCCGAAGGGATAGGCAAAGGTGCACATTACGGCACTTAATGCCGCTGTACAATGTAACACACATTTTTCACTATGTTATAAGTCCCATGTAATAAGGGGTGAGCCTATTGCCATATACCAGGCACATTTCCAGACTCCTTAGTGCTACTGAGAATTAAAAAAAAACGATTAATAGTTTCCCCGACCCGGGACACGATCCCGAGACCCCCTGCCTGCGGCAGTCGCCCTCGGCCAACGAGGCAGTCAATAAAATAAAGTCAGTAAATAAAATAAATAAATGGTAATGAAAATAAAGTACTTCTAATAGGTCATTCAAGGTCTGTTTTCTTTCGGCTATTTATTTTTGATGTTAATCAGTATTTAGTACCTATTTTTGTAAACCATTTTTTTTAATTTGTTTCAGGTGGAATTATTGTTGCAGCATATTATTTACCATCTGATAAATCAAAGAAAGTTTAATCTATTGTTCTTTTTTTAAAAGGCTTTTTACAATATATTCTAATACTTTTTTAAATTATGCACAATGTTTTCTATAACTTATCCCTAGGACTACCACCAAAATTATTTCCTCATGGTAGCTACTTTCAAAACCAAGACAGAACTCAATTATGTTTGTCACCTTTGTTTAAATTTTTAAACCTTGCTTACATACCAGTTTTCCTGACCAAGAGATCCAAATCGAGAAAAAAGTGTAATGGTAAAAAGCATTAAATGCAAAAAAAATTACAGATTTTTTTTTGTAACTTTCGTGAGACATACTAAATAAATTATTATGTTTTCGGCTTACTCATGTAATAATTTGACGACGAACTCGACTGGTTTCAAGCCATGCTAGAAAACATAATAATTAAAAAAATAATCTTCTTAAATAGTGCCATTGACCAACTACTAACAGAAACATAGTCAATATCAATTACATTGCCTGTGAAAGCTCTGAGATTTGGTACACTTACCGTTCCAATTTGTATTTCATGAATATTAATAACTCTAACGCGGCTGCGTGGACTCGACTGCGTATTTCTTAGGTTTTACGTATGTTTTTCTACGTAAAGCTATTGGGTAAAATTATTATTATTTTAATGCAACTGTAGACTGGAGACCGCGTCTAGGCAAATATAATAAAGAGCGCTCTCCAGCTAGGTGACGATATTCGGAAGGTGTCTGGCAGTGGTTGGATGAGAAGAGCTGAAGACCGAGCTCAGCGGCGTGCCATTGGAGAGGCCTATGTCCAGCAGTAAACGAACACGGGCTGATGATGATGATGAATTATTTTGCAATGAAGAACTAACCTCAACTCACCAGGTGAAAAATGCGTCGTTGAAAGTGTATCTCAGTATCGTTATAGTCGTTCGACGTGAAGGACTAAGGGGAAGGCTTTTGCGTTATGATTAAAAATATTAAACGAGTTATAATTTTTAAAGCGATTATTATAAAGTCTATAATAGTATGTTCTTCCACTTATTTTTGTATTAAAACAAACATTTCTATTGTTATGTTTTTACAGGAATTCTCTAGCGATATCACAACTCGGTCGCGTGTGCCTGTCTACGTTTTAAATTATCGTTCTAGAAACTGTGACATCAATTCCAACTTAGTGCAACCTGTGTGACCAACACACGGCATGATTAGAAAGTATTTAGTGACATTAGGTACCTATTTCTGTTTCGCATTACAAAATTGTGGAATGATGTGTCTTCTTCGAGATTTATGACCCGATACGACCTTCAAACTTTTAAGAAAAGAGTATATACCTTTTTAAAATTCTAACAATGCACTTGTGACTCCTCTGGTATTTGTTGCGGGTGTCAGCGGTGGCTTGATCACGTGATCAAATTGCTGGATTGCCTCCCATTAAAAAAAAAATATATCTTGATTGTCTTCGATTTATATATTTACACTTCTGTATATCATATGATGGCAGACTTAATGCCGGGTGGCATTCTCTGTTCAATTCTCTGTGGCATTCAACAGTCAACATTTAAGGTTCTATTTAGCGCGCCTCAAAGAGCCATCAGACCACCACAGATGGGGCCCAATAGGGCCGATGCCGATTCGGAGTCGCGGAGAACCTAACGGGTAACCGGGGCTCCGGCTCGACGTGCAGGAGAAGGAACGGGGTGGTTTTTAGTCAGTAAGAGTCTGACACTCCCTTCCGCCTCACCCAGGCGGGAGCAGTCATTCGATGATTTTCCCCCCTTAAAAAAAAAAAAAAAAAGGTTCTATTTAAGCAAATCTATTCTATCTTACGTAATTTATTATGTGTTTTTCATCTTTACATAACGGAAAAATTAATTGTGTCTTCTCAATCAAACATTTTAGAGAGAATATACAAGTCAATAAAAGTTGACTTTGCTATACCGGTTTCATTTCTTACAAAAATATAAAAAGAAATAGTAATTTAATTAGTACGTTAAAAATAAAACAAAACTTTCTGCATTGGTAAAATTAGACCGAGAAAACCAAGATATTTTAAGATCGTCCCAGCCATCGGAAAATTGGACGCTTTTCTATTTAAATTTTTATTTACTTTCTTTGTATGTTAAATGTTTTGTAATGTTACCAGTACTACATAAATCACTCGGAACAAAAGAAACAGGGAGAGTTGCGAAAACAAAATGCAAAAGGAAAAATTTATCTTTTTATACCTTTTTCCTCCACAGAATTGTCTCCATTGCTTCTTTACCAGGAAGTCAATATCTATTTTATGTTTTCATTTTTTTACAAGTTGTTATATTATTTTAAATTATTTTTTAACCTTGAATTTATGTAGCAGCTATGTTTTTTCTTGGCATAAAAGACGAACTTATTGTTGTATAATGCGCATTTACGTTATTAGCATAACATTGGTAATTTGAATTTATTAAAATAGTGGCTATTAGCAAAAATCAGGCGTAAAATGAAGCGTGTTTTTTTGACACTTTTGAAGGCCAAAAATATAACAATAGTAGGTATTTCCAATAGTTCCTGCATTTAGGAGACTTATTACTCGATACACTGCTGGCTCTAATTGGATTTTCAAGGTCAAGGTTAAACCCCACTTGCAATCACTTCTCCAACGAGAAAATTGCAATATTTCCCGAATAAAACATGAATATTCGTACCAAAAATATATAAAGTAATGAAGACAATGTTTTCCAGGTATTCCTATATATTTCTTTATTACATTCTTCACTTAATGCCACGTCACAGCTTGCTATGAACGAATGCGTACCATGAAATTTTTTGTAAGAAAACTTTTGTTCAAGACCCGTACAGTTAATAAGCGCTGTACTGTTTTAGAGTAGGTATTTTTGTTGCGTGCATCGCATTCCTTCTGTTAGAAAAGGTTTTATAAAATGGTATAATTAAGTGAATATTTAATCTGGGTAGATAAATACTTTTAGTAAGTGACAACTCAATCAAAACTTTTATTGATAGTAATACGTTGATTTATTTAAATAACTAGCTACTTCCGCGCGGTTTCACATGCTCTGCTCAGCTCGTATTGGTCGTAGCGTAACGTTTTATAGCCTATAGCCTTCCTGAATAAATGCGCTATCCAACACAAAAGTAATTATTCAAATCAGACTTGTAGTTCCGAAGATTAGCGCGTTCAAACAAAAAAACAAACTCTTCAGCTTTATAATATTAGTATAGATAATAAAAGTATAATAGCTTACTTTATACTGGAAAATAGAAATTAATTGAAATGAGTTTTAATTATAAAAACAAATGAAGAGACTTCGGCCTTTACCTTTCAGTATTTGCATTGACGTTACATACACTCTGTAATCACATTGTGTTACAACCAAAAAGTTCAAAATTTCATACCTTCGACTATACAATTCTAAAAAAAAAACAAGAAAGAATCTTTAGCTCCTAAAATTCAAATTACAAACTTCTTATATGATCATCTACCCACACCACGCCCGAAGGTATAATAAAATATGGTTCTTGCGTAAATTTTTACGTGAAGAGAAAAAAAAACATTATTAGAAAAACAAGACAATAATAATAATTAGACCGTTTGTCCGCCCGAAGTCCCCCGAAGCCGTAAAATTTTCTTGCCTCGTTGCTTACATTGTCCTAAATGTAGGCAAAAATATTTGTTCCTTTTTTAAATGACTCTTTGTATTTTTCATCTGTCTATGTTTTATGTCAGCCGGAGATATAAATATTCTTGAGTTGTTTTTTTATTGTAATTTGAGTATAAATAGGGCTTTTTATAACTTTGTGTTGTGATCTACAAACTGTTGTGCTGAGGCTGGATGTTATAAGTATAGAGGTATATGTAAAACTGGTGTTAAAAAACAACAGAAAATCCTATATTTTATAAGAATACAAAGAATATAAAACTAGGAAATTAACAACAACAGCAGCTGTAGCCAAATGCCATTTAGCGCTTGTCTAATAGTAGAATAGAAAACCAACATAACATAACATAACATCACACCTTTTATCCCCGAAGGGGAAGGCAGAGGTGCAGATTATGCCACTGTAAAATGTAACACCCACTTTTCACAATTTATGTTATGAGCCCCATGTAATAGGGGGTGAGCCTATTGCCATATATCGGGCACAATTCCAGACTCCTTGCTACTACTGAATTTTTTTTAAATACCCAATAATACTTTGCCCGACCCGAGAATCGAACCCGAGACCCCTTCCTCGGCAGTCGCACTTGCGACCAATCAGCCAACTAGGCAGTCATAGTCAGTAGAAAACCAGATCATATGGAATTGACGTTTTTGACACTTGACAGTGTCATCCCCATACATTTTTATTTCTAATCTCTCTGTAGACAAACGCTAAAGTGGCGTTTGGCGAAAGGCCTAGGACCGTATGCTAAGTATTTTCAACCAATACTGCTAAAACAACAATACAAAAACAACCTCTTTAAACCAATTTCACAATATCCATTGAATCGAAACCCTTATAATAAAATTCCATAACCAAACATACACGAATTCATTGAATAAATTAAACATGTCAACCCCAGTGCAATGCCCCTTATTTATAGCACACAAAACTATAAAAATAGTAATAAATGTTGCAATATTTCATGTATTTGAAAAGTTTACTTGCGAAGAAACATCTATAGTTTCATTACAATAAGAGAGAGGGGGACAAAAATTATGGTTTTCCTCAAAATATTCTGCGGAAATGTGCAGGAAACAATACTTAATAGAGTTGCGGGATGGAGGGATATTTATTTTGAAGCGGCGTTTTGTCATTAGGGATGTATCCAAGGTGGAAAGACGATTTTATATGCAAATTCTACAGGATTTTATGTGATCGTCGTTTATGAAGCTTTTTCAGTTATCAATATGATAGGATGTCGCATTGAATAAAATGTGGGAGAGCAATGCTTCGGCACGAATAAGCCAGCTCGACCGGCGTGATACAACGGCCTCACAGAAAAACTGACGTGAAACAACGCATGCGTATTATTTCGTCGTGTAAAGCCCCTAAAATACTCAAATTCACAAGTCCAAAAAGGCCGGTAAGGCACTTGTGACGTCTCTGGTGTTCCAGATATCCATGTGCGACGCCATTGCTTACCATCAAAGTGATCTGATTGCTCGTTTACCGGCCCCATAACATCATATATATCCCATAAAAAAGTAAGTAACTCGCAACTTGTAATATTAAACAATGTTTAGATTTTAATCGAACTCCAATCGATTAAACTAGATTAAAATTGATTAATTTATTTACTTTTTACGTAAAACGTTTTAAAACTAAAAAGTTAACATGATGGTAAAAATTTAATACAACTTTGTTACAGTTTTGATGAATATTGAACAGACATTATTTAAAATATTAAAATATCCGATATACCGAAATGTAATAGTACGCTTACTATATTTAATTTCGAAACTATATGCCTCACATAATACAACATGTACATGTTGTAAATTGAATTAAAATTATGTACATACATGTATATACAAAATGTACATTGTAAATGGTGTGAGCTGTGCTCGAACATGTGATCTATAGGTCTACCGACCTACAGCTCTATATTTCACACGAATATTGAGTGCGTACTGCACCCTAAACACACATACATCATCAATACGATAGTAATCTGAATCGATTGCATTCGATACAGAAGCAACATCGATTGCATTGTCATAGGAGACGCATTATATCACTCGGGAATAATGTCAAGTCCCATTCACTGGTACGGGCATTCAATTGAAGTATAAGGCCATTGATTGAAGCGATTATTCAGAATATATTTCGATGTTTACTATTCTGGTAGTATACCTAAGTGTACAGATTTAATTTTACAAAGATACAGCAGCAACTATTCACCATTTAATCACCAAAAACATTGGTTCTATGCATTAGTCATCACTACTATTTTATACGTAGGTATTAATGTAAAAAACCATATAACCAGTAATCGCTTTTACCATGCATTCATTTACTTTCTCTGCTTTAAAGCTCACGTTTATTTACAAGCTGCACAATGCAGTCATTTTAGAGCAGCTGAGCCTGTATGTTCTGGATAGGTACGCGTGGCGATGCCGGCGACCACGGCGGCTGGCGGAGCCCCGCAGTTGGATCA